TAGCATACACATCACTACTACTAGCATACACACCACTACTAGTACCATACACATCACTACTACTAGCACACACACCACTACTACTAGCATACATATCACTACTACTAGCATATACACCACTACTAGTACCATACACATCCTTACTACTAGCAGACACATCACTACTACTATCATACACACCGCTACTACTAGCATACACATGACTACTACTAGCATACACACCACTACTAGTACCATACACATCACTACTACTAGCATACACACCACTACTACTAGAATACACATCACTACTACTAGCATACACATCACTACTACCAGCATACACACCACTACTACTACCATATACACCACTACTACCAGCATACACACCACTACTACTAGCATACACATCACTACTACTAGCATACACACCACTACTAGTACCATACACATCACTACTACTAGCATACACACCACTACTACTAGAATACACACCACTACTACTAGCATACACATCACTACTACCAGCATACACACCACTACTACTACCATATACACCACTACTACTAGCATACACATCACTACTACTAGAATACACACCACTACTACTAGCATACACATCACTACCACTAGTATATACATCGCTACTACTAGCATACACATCCCTACTACTAGCATACACATCACTACTACTAGAATACACACCACTACTACTAACATACACACCACTACTACTAACATACACATAGCTACTACTAGCATACACATCACTACTACTAGAATACACATCACTACTACTAGCATACACACCACTGCTACTAACATACACACCACTACTACTAGCATACACACCACTACTACTAACATACACATCCCTACTACTAGCATACACATCACTACCACTAGCATATACATCACTACTACTAGCATACACATCACTACCACTAGCATATACATCGCTACTACTAGCATACACACCACTACTACTAGGATACACATCACTACTACTAGCATACACATCACTACCACTAGCATATACATCGCTACTACTAGCATACACACCACTACTACTAGAATACACACCACTACTACTAGCATACACATCACTACCACTAGCATATACATCGCTACTACTAGCATACACATCACTACCACTAGTATATACATCGCTACTACTAGCATACACATCAGTACTACTAGCATACACATCACTACTACTAGCAGACACATCACTACTACTAGCATACACATCACTACTGTTAGCATACACATCACTACTACTAGCATACACACTACTACTAGTACCATACACATCACTACTACTAGCATACACATCGCTACTACTAGCATACACATCTACTACTAACATATACATCACTACTACTAACATACACACCACTACTACTAACATACACATCGCTACTACTAGCATACACATCACTACTACTAGCATACACATCACTACTACTAGCATACACACCACTACTACTAACATACACACCACTACTACTAGCATACACACCACTACTACTAGCAGACACATCACTAGTTTTACAATTAGCTCGGGTATTCTGGTAACGGGAGTATACAACATACAAACATATAATTCGAGTGTGCTGGTAAAGGGTATATACATGTTTATACGTGACAATTACGTGTTGTTCAAAGTAACCCTAACGTACGTAAGCTGAAGAACTAAAACTCAAGCATGCCAACATTGATAGAGAAATCTTACACTTCACACAAATCTAATTAATTAAATGCTCCTACTGACTTAGAAAGGCTTCTTGGGCAGCCATATATATAGAGTAATTTCCTATCGCCTCTGTAGGGCATGGAGTGTACAACAAGCATAGGCGTACCAGAATGGACATAAAGATCGCTCACCGAATTAATTACATAGTCTGATACGTTGTAGAAATCGAAAACTTAACCTGTTGAATATCGCACTTTCAAAATACGTGACTCCCATCTTCAGAAACTGTCGTGGTGTCCTTTCTCATACTTCTATCTACATGTTCTTGTGTCTTCTGCCGACGTCTGGATTGTAATTCTAAATGAGCTGCACGTGCTGGTTTATTTTATTTTAAACTGTAGTTATCGATGGCAAACCCTGCCAAACATTTTACCTATATCTATAAGCATGACCCGTTATTTCTTTCCTTATTAATGAAGTTTCCAAACAGTTAATGTTTTCAATCCATGCTAACAATCAGAAGGTAATGCAGTCCGTTCCCGCTCTGATTCGTTATACAAGGGAGCTGATCTACTGTTAATGATAAAACGCCAACCGTGATGGACTTTGTCCAAATGATTATGGAGTATTCTTTCGAATCTGAATTACCTTTTATCAAAAAGGAAAATAGTGAATCGTTATGTTGATTTATCAATGATAACTCCTGGTGTTTTATTTTGGTAATTTTTTTTCACAAACGGACCCCGATATGTTTTATTTGTTAATTCATTTATTAATTTTCAGGTTTTTTTCTGCTTTTAAACCCATCTAGATATCAATTATTTTCCATTTGACATGAACCATTTTGAAGGAGAAACAGTAATTATACAGAATTTGTGTTTATTAATTATTAACCTCATCCTATGCGCTTTTCACCGATAACATATTATAACTATCCAACTTTTTTAAAGACGGCGATAGACATTTTTCCATTACGTAAATCCCTCTTTTGGGGGAAAAAAATGTCTGTTCGCTTCCAATGGATCCCGCGCCTCTTATTAAGTGTGAAGTATGTAAGAGTTGTCTCCCATTTACAAAACCAACATGTTACCCGCAGGTACCATTATACACCTATATCCGCCTTTCCACAGGCTAGAAATGAAACCGATCAAACAACTCACTCAATATCTCACAGAGTTTTGTCATTCTTACTAAAAAGAGGTTGATGGGATTGCTTATGTTTTCAGTATTTACCTCAGACTTATCAATAATGCTCGGAGAAAAGTCAGAGAGGAGGCATATATACCAACTCAAGCCAAATTCAACTTTCGGTTCACATTCTATTTATCTCTGTTATATTGATTCAAATATGCTTTTTTAAATACTAAAAAATCAACGGATTTCATCCCTTTTTAAACAAACTGTTTCAACAAATAATGAGACAGCTATTTTCCCATGACGAACAGTTCCGTCAGTCGACAAACGTCAATGTGGAAACAAGTCGATAATGTCCATCATAATTTCATTTTCAACTTTAAAACTTTAACTTTTTTATTGGAAGGTATATCAAAAATACTGCAAAATGGAAATTTAAACATTTGTGCTTTAACTCATACGAAATGACATATTATAACGTCATAAAACAATTAAAGAAAGACGTCACAGAGTTCCAAATCAATTATGAGGTCACAAAGGAGACATTTCTGGAAATGAATGAACAAATATTTTTTCACAACCATAAATATTCTTGTTTTTGTGAAAATAGGGATATTTCCCTTAGATGTATAATACATATATAGAACAAAAGTATCGCATGTACATGCCATGCGGTATTTTAGGAGATCTTAGTTTTGACTCTAAATGTAAAAAAAAAAACGTTTTTAAAAAACCCGCATGATCTTGACTCATTTTATAGAGCAGCGTAAGACCCAATTCTGGTATGCGACATTCCATCTTTCCAAAGATACATGTACGCACAACAGTATAAAACCTTAAACTTTGTGAAAATAAATGAACAAATGGTCAGATCTCTGTATATAATGGGGCACGACACCCTATTTGTTGGCCCGGACGCAAGTGCGCTAGGAATCTGTATGTGAGAAAAGCGGAAAAAAACCTTCTTCATTTTCAGTCATATCGGGGAATCTACCCCCGGCCGTCTTGGTAATATAAATGGACCAAGCTTTGATATCAAAAGAGATGAACGTAATTACATATCATACTTTGGTGATAGATCTATACTGAAAATGTTACCCTTGAACCACAGGGGCTTGTATAGACTTATATGATAAAACTAGCTTGAAATACCTATATAAAAAGACATATATAGGTATTTCGAGCTGATTTTATCATAAAGTGTATACAAGCCCCTGTGCTTGAACACTAAGGTGGTAAAGTGATGTAGCTATGCTGTGGACAAACCATTCGAGCAATGATCAAATTGAAAGGGTCGTTCATACATTAAGCGGAGAGCAATCTATTTGATGAAAGGGTCACTTCTAATATATTGACTTATGATATAAATGGAAAAACAAACCCCGGTGCAACACAGAGTTAAGGATTTAGAGTAGTAGATGTGTGGAACAATCTACTTGTACACGTTGTTATTGAAATTTTAATTGATGGACATTTTAAAGAAATATAATCTTTGATACGTGAAACACAATAAGACTATGTTTTACATATTTATAATGCTGTTATTGACACCCCTACATTTGTAAAAAAAACATTTGTTGATATTGTTGATAATCAATGATATTCGTCCATTATTATTCCATTTAGACCGGCCATATAATTCAATCACAGATCAAGATTCCATTAAATTATACTGATTTTAGAGTTGCTGAGCCCTCTGAAACATGTACACACAACAAGTTTGCTGAATGTATATATTTAAGGTTGAATATTATGCTCTGGAAAACTTTAATTAATATAAAAAATTAACAGCCATAGTCAGAACTGGGCATAAATAATATATGCGTTTCGTTTCATTTCGATCTGAAAAGTTGATTTACTACGAAAGGGAGTAACCTAAACAACAAACGTGGTCTATATTCCATAAACAACGCCTGAAGACACCGTGTTTGAATGCCGTTAACTGTTTCCGTTTATGTAAACTTTCATGACTGATGGTTCTAAGAATGAGGAAATGAAAACTTACTCCACTTAAGGAACTAATGATGGTAAGTTTGTTCATTCAGAGCGGTATCATCTATTTTTTCTAGATTGGTACAGTTTGGTCTAGTTGAAACATTTTATATGTCCATCGAATGTCGCCTTTGTGAGGCTGAGGTCCTGTCGACCGTCGGACATCTGTCGGCTTTCAATCAATGTGAATGTCAAACATAAACCCTAATCAGCTGCTAATGTGACGTAAACGAATTAGTTATCGGTATGACCTATTGGTCTGTTTTGAATGCAAGAAGCACCAGAAAAAAATTCGGTCGAAATCCCCGATAGAAAAGTTCACGTCGATGGACTCTGCAGATGGGTCGGCTTGAGCGGACTGTTTATTTCACAGCAGGATGCGATCGCATACGAACCACTACGTGGTCTAGCTGCCTACCAGACACTTATCAAGTCTTATCATAGCTCGGTCAGGGTTATAACAGAATGGTAGTATACTAGTGTAAGCGTGGTGGCTGTGTGTTCAGCACAGAGGTCAATATGAATATGCAGTTCTTAGACTAACTCACTAGGTAACGATGACAACTCAATGTAATATTATTGATTGCTCTTATAACAATGGAAGTTGTGAATTTGTAAGACCATATCACAACAGTACCAACTTTTTAATGATTCCAGATGTGATATGTGTGTATACACTTGGCTACCCTTTAGACTTGTTTAATTGCACACATCCATTTAACATGAATCCTCAAATATATGTACCTGCAGGAAAACAAATTTGAAAGAAATAATGATCCAGTATAATTACGGAGAGGGCATTGGTAGCGTTATACAACAAGTACATGATAGGCATTTTTTTATTTAATGGGGTGGGGACCGAAGTCCCTACTACCTGGTGAAAACATAGCAACAATAATAATTACAAACAAATCTAAACTACAATGGCTAACATTGCCAGTACAATTTTATATTCTAATGCTAAATCAAACAGACTTTCACAACCTTGTATTAAATATCATGTAATACCGTATATAAATTTCCATACAACATTGACCTGTTTATTATATAAATGTGACATCAGAGCACACTTTTTCTATCTGTTAGGGCACGGAATTAGATTAGAAAATTGTTTAGAACATATACATATATATATAATGACATAGCCAACGGTAACGGGTTGTTTCGCCCTAAATCCTGTTCGCCCTAAGGGTTGTTTCGCCCCAATTCCCGTTCGCCCTAGGTTGTTTCGCCTTAAAAAAATCTTTTCTTGAAGTCATAAATATCATGTTAAAAGTTAAAAAACTTAGAATTCTCTTGAATCAAGATATAATTACATGCCGGAAGAAGATTTATGACAAGTTACCTACTCAAAATTATCTCCTCAAATATGCATATTAATTTTTATTTGTCGGTGCTATCAAAACTTCCTCCAATTAGCAAAAAACAACATGTACGTGCGCAGAAATCAAGTAAAGAAAACATCATCACACGGCGACGATTATGTGTACACTGGACTAAATGTGTTAACATGGAAAAATAATATTGTTGTGTACCACGCAATGTAATTAAAATTACACAATTTTTGTTTCATTTCACTATTCTTATTTATTTCTAAAATTAAATTCAATATATGTTATAATGTGTGTCGGCGTGAAGAAAATAACGTATTCCGTTTTTTGCTTTACACTGTACTTAAAAACAACACAAACACATTTTTTTTTAATAAAACTGATTTTAATGATATGGAAGACAAAGTAGACTTAATTTGTAACTAAAACAAAGAAAAATGAAAAGAAAATACCAAACAATGTTTCTCCCTAAAAAACAAGGGCGAAACAACCTAGCGCGAAACAACCTAGGGCGAAACAACCCGGAACCTAGCCAACTAGCATTCCATATTCTAAAGTTTTACCAACAATTTCTTTAAAATGAATGCCCTATCTTTTCTTTATGCTATTGGAAAAAAATTAGATTACCATCAGGGTCAACAGAGTCATTAATAAACCATACCAAGATGACGGAATACAATTTATTATTTAACTTGTAATTTTTTGTAGGAGAAGGAAGATCAGCCCCAGAATGGAGAGAAGATAGGCCGTCCAATGATAGACATGGAGGGCAGATGTGGGAAGGTTGACCTTGTCTACTTTGTAGCTGAGGTGGAGAGGTTTAACAGACTCATTGAGCCCCTTGCCATGGTGCTGTATGCTATTGAAGATGTCCGAAGGTTTGAATCAATTATATTTGCGTGCTGTTGATTTTCAGATATGAGATTATTTTTAAATCTGAATGTAAAGGATAAACGCTTCGTTAATTGCATTGTTCTTTGGTGATATGTCAGAGTGTCCTCTGACCCCAGTATCAGATCTCAAAATTGTCAAAGTCTGCTGTTGGAGCCAGAGGAAATTTACCAATGGATTGATCAGGAAAAATGTGGACAGTAATATAATGAAAAACAACCAATTAATTAGTCAGAGAGAACATTTTTTAATTGCTTTTTATCCTACCAGTGTATTTGTATTATGGTGTCTGCAATGATCATGACATAATCAAAGTCTATGATAATTAATCAAATACCTTTTAAGTAGACTGCTATGAGTTTTCCCAAATGTAACTTTTATAAAATGTACCAGTAAAATCTGAGTCTAACAATTACTAACGTTCCCTGCACAAATTTTACCTGGAAAATGATGGGGAACTGTTTTCTCTATTATACAGACATTTTAAAATGATGATTGGTACCTTTGTTTGTTTTAGGTGGAGATATCCTAACTGGACTTTAGGAGCATGGCTCGTTTGTAACGTCCTCTGTTTATTGCTCTCAAAAGGTGATTTAAATTAGTATTCCTGCAAAACTATACATAAATTTCATAACTCAATACAATGTAATTACTCATTTTGAGCTCACTAACTCCCATGAGCCAATGAACATACCAGTATCCTGGAGAGCAGCGTCTGTTGTCCATCCAGAACGACTGAGATGATATTAACTGGCAAATTTCTCTGACGAATTGTTGGGCCAATGATACTGAAATGTTGTATAAATGGAAGGGGTGGCCCCCGTAATACGGAAATAAAAGCAAACCAATAAAATCCTACTCCTTCAATACTGGTTAAGTTATTTTAACCAGATTTGGTCTTGAGCATCCTTAGGCAAAGGGGACTCAAGCTTGTTTAAACAGAGGTTGTGGTCCCAATAATCTTTGCAATAACCACAATTAATTGACATTGATAACAAAATAACTCAAATTAAAACACTTCCTGCAGCAATCAGTAAACAACCGATTACAACCCTGGAGTAAAATGTGACTTGAATTGCTATGCATTTGTTTTTAAAATACCGTTTTACTGAGGTAATTTTGTGGTACGCAGGTGCTGTGTTTGCATTAGTGTCTATAATGGTGGTGGGCATCGCCACACTTTGTCTGGTACAAGTACACACCCGCCTTCTGGACAAGTTCTTCCCCTACACTGGCCGCAATGATGAAAGGACAGAGGATGATGAGGAAGTAGAGGAGACGGTTACAATGAAGACTGTGCAGTACTTTCGTTTTAGGTATGTATTCCAATAGTCTTCTCTGTTTCTTCTACTTGTCTGTGATTACCAATGTTAGATATTGTGTAAGTATATGTTTGTCACACATTAAAGTGTAAATGCCTTTTTTCCATCTTGTTTTTCTCTCTCCCTGACCTTGACTCTTTGCATATTCTCATATAAAAGTTTCTGAACCATAAACCAATTTGTTCAGCCCTTTCTAGAATCAGTATAGTACAACATTTATGTCAAAAAAAGTACTTGATAGTCTAAAGGCAAATAAAAATCAGCTATGGAATGGACATTTAACAAATGTAACACAAAATTGTATGTTACAAAGATATCACCAATTCAGTACCAGGCGCTGCTAGTCTGATATAGTGTCCTGTGAAGATCTTTCTTCACTTTAATCTACTTTTCCTCGCTAATGAGCTAGTCTGATATAGTGTCCTGTGAAGATCTTTCTTCGCTTTAATCTACTTTTCCTTGCTAATGAGCTAGTCTGATATAGTGTCCTGTGAAGATCTTTCTTCGCTTTAATCTACTTTTCCTTGCTAATGAGCTAGTCTGATATAGTGTCCTGTGAAGATCTTTCTCCGCTTTAATCTACTTTTCCTCGCTAATGAGCTAGTCTGATATAGTGTCCTGTGAAGATCTTTCTCCGCTTTAATCTACTTTTCCTCGCTAATGAGCTAGTCTGATATAGTGTCCTGTGAAGATCTTTCTCCGCTTTAATCTACTTTTCCTCGCTAATGAGCTAGTCTGATATAGTGTCCTGTGAAGATCTTTCTCCGCTTTAATCTACTTTTCCTCGCTAATGAGCTAGTCTGATATAGTGTCCTGTGAAGATCTTTCCCCGCTTTAATCTACTTTTCCTCGCTAATGAGCTAGTCTGATATAGTGTCCTGTGAAGATCTTTCCACGCTTTAATCTACTTTTCCTCGCTAATGAGCTAGTCTGATATAGTGTCCTGTGAAGATCTTTCCACGCTTTAATCTACTTTTCCTCGCTAATGAGCTAGTCTGATATAGTGTCCTGTGAAGATCTTTCCACGCTTTAATCTACTTTTCCTCGCTAATGAGCTAGTCTGATATAGTGTCCTGTGAAGATCTTTCCACGCTTTAATCTACTTTTCCTCGCTAATGAGCTAGTCTGATATAGTGTCCTGTGAAGATCTTTCCACGCTTTAATCTACTTTTCCTCGCTAATGAGCTAGTCTGATGTAGTGTCCTGTGAAGATCTCTCTTTGCTCTAATCTACTTTTCCTTGTAACCGATTTTCCAACAGGACAGGTGATGTAAACTTGATAGTTTGGAAAAATTTAATAACTGTTCTTACCATGTTAAATAACAGAAACTTACATCATATGACATGTTCTCAGTAATTGTTTTGTTTCCAGTGTGGTCCAGATGTATGATTTCATTGTCAAGTGTAATGAATACATAGCCCATCTGTACGGAATCTTTCGGTGGGACAACACTCTCTCATCACTCAAGTAAGTTGAAGTAACATTCGTACCAATTATATTCAATTTCATGATAATGATACCACTGCTAGCCTACCATCGTCCCTTCTTGTCCATGATCCTTGGTCGTCCACCAATCTGTTTGTCATTAAAAAAATTCTTGTTATGGCAGTTTCTTGGGATGTACTGGGGGAATCTTTCTCAAGTTTCCTGTGTAGGTTCTCAATCCTTAGTTCTGCATACTTAATTAGGGCCCCGTATCGGAGATACGGGTGCCCTATAGTAATCTGTCTGTCTGTCTGTCTGTCTGTCCACAAATTTTGAAAATAGCTGATAACTTGAGTATCTATTGACCGATGTACATAAAACTTGGTCAAGATGTTCAGTTCACAAAAATACACATTGCGGTAAAAAGTCAAGGTCAAAGGTCAAGGTCAAATTTTACATCTTTTCACTGATGAACATTTTGTTATGACATGATGAAGCAAAGTTGATCAGAATTAAACAAGGAGACAACTGATCTAAGGTCAAGGTCATTGGGTCAGGGGTCAAGGTCAAATTTTGTAGCTTTTCACTGGTGAACATTTCACTATGACATGAAACAAAGTTGTTCGGAATTAAACAAAAAGACACACTGAGGTAAAAAGTCGAGGTCAAAGGTCAAGGTCATTAGATTCAAAGGTCAATGTCAAATTTTGCATCTTTTCACTGATGAACATTTTGTTATGACATGATGAAGCAAAGTTGATCAGAATTAAACAAGGAGTCGACTGATAAAAGGTCAAGGTCATTGGGTCAAAGGTCAAAGTTAAATTTTGTATCTTTTCACTGGTGAACATTTCACTATGACACTTTGAAGCAATGTTGCTCATAATTAAGCAAGGAGTCAATTGACCAAAGGTCAAGGTCAGTGGGTCAAAGGTGAAGGTTAAATTTTGTACCTTTTCACTGATGAACATTTTGTTATGATATTAAGAAGTAAAGTTGGTCTGAATTAAAGAATAAGTCAACTGACCAAAGATCAGGGTCACTGGGTTAATGGTCAAGGTCATTTGGGTCTAAAGGTCTAAGACAAAGTGGATCTATGATTTTGACCCTGGCTCTTGATGGAAGAGGTATATAAGGTGAAATAAAGCAAATCAAAGCTAACAAATGAGTATTGCACCGGAATTTACATTTCTGTTAGCCCAGCAAATATGGAGGTGGAAGGAAACAAGACTCTCATCATAGTACATGTAAATATATATTTTGCTTCCTTGCGATTCTTTTTGAAGTCCAAATGTCAAACGTCAAGCTCAGCTATATGAGCAGATTGCTTCTTGATGATTATGGGGGATATATTGCCACAAGACAGGGCCCTTACTGACCTGTCAGTGTTCTAGTTTTGTGATTGATTGTAAGAAGAAAGTGATGGCTGCTAGGTGGCCATCTTGAATTTTAATGGATAACATTTGTTATCTTGATTTCTTAGAAAGGTTTAATTTCAAATGTGTAAGCTCTTCTTGGTCCATATTTAATTTGAGACTGATCAGGAGATGTGCTTGTCTACACTTTGAAGAGTTTCAGATCTCTGTCTTTCAGTTGATGCACACTTGTTACATTTCCACTGATATTAAAGGGGCTGGTTGGGGAAAAAATGTCATATTTGTTAAAATGACATACACATGTTTAAAATACCTTCTTATGAAATATACCGATTCAAATTTTGCTGAAATTCACTCACGAGGTATCAATACCGTTATATATAACAACAACATATAGGTAGGAATACAACACTTGCATCATACATGACATTTAAAAACATTTATTTACGTACAGTATTGCTGTCTTGTCTGCTAGTTGAGTCCGACATTGCACATGACGGCGTGCTATTGTTGTTATCTTCACTGCCTCACTTTCGAAACAACCATGTGACATATAAAAATAGATCTGCGCTAAATTTACGCGGGGCTTCCCCGAGATTTCAGTGGTCAAAACTGGACATTGCAAGCAGAACTCGACCATCACATTACCGTGGTATAACTTTTGGAAGGCCAGAGAACGCATTTAGACCCACTTATTTTGTATTTTTTTCCCCGACCAGCCCCTTTAATGTGTATGACATGTAGCTATTTTCTTTGTTACAGGTTTTACATAGAGTTATGTGTGTTCCTACTCAGCTTGGTGGTCCTCCCTAATAGGGGGGTCTGGTTCCTGATTGTCAACTGGGTTTTCCTTGCTAATGAAGAAATCTTGCAAGGTAAAAATGATATGTCCTGTTATTGTGATCAACATCGTTGTGAGATGTTGGAGTTAAAGTAATCAACAATTATTCTGTCGATGTTGGGTTTGTCTATGCTTTTTGTGTCTCGTGCGAAGCAGAGACAATATACAGACCCTGATGACGGTATCATAATTGGTAACCCAATAGATCCTTCTATTCCTGTGGAATGCTTGTTTAGATAAACATGTAGAAATAAAGTTATAAAAAAAGATATTTAGTAATACAGATGTAGATAACGAAAATATATTTGGTAATAATTGTACATGATGAAAAAGTTGTCTGGTGATATAGTTACATGTATATATGATAAAAAGACATACAGGTAATGTCATACTTTATCGATCGTGATGGAAATCTTGAATATACACCTACTAACATTTTAGATACTGGTAAGTGGGAATCCTATTCACTGTGGTTTGTTTCTAAATTACCTTGATTTGCTGCCGGGTTATTTGTATTAATTAAAATCATAACTTGACCATATAATCATACATTGTATTATCTTATTTTTTTAACAGTTATTGTAAACTCTGGATTGCGCCTCTACAGCCAAATAAGTGGAAATCCAGTAAAAGCGTTAATACTAGCTGAGGGAGCTGCAAATACTGAGACGAAAGCAGAATCAAATTCAACCCCTGTGGTGAGTGTTTCTCAGTGACACAGACCAGTTACCTGATCATCTGTAGAGGACTTGGACAAGATCCATTAAAGAAAAAAAAGATAAACAACAGCAAGAAATCAAATGAAATAGGAAAAAGATTGTGATTCTTTGATCATATCTAAAAAAAAAACGGAAAACAAACGAAAATTGTAAAAAAAAACAATCAGCAAAGAATTTTTTTAAGCATTTATGCTTTTCACCATGAATTCAGTATGTCATGTCTCATTGTCTCTTGTAACGTAATTGTTGGTGTTACACATACCGAAGGTTATATGGAGTTGTTGTTACTCTGACTAATACCCAGATCATAAGATAAATGTAAAAAATATCCAGGGAGTGATAATTGATTATAACTTGGGTCTAGATATAGAGAATATACAACTAGTGATGATTAATTAGAGTTTATATCTCTAATGAGTGACAATTGATTATGATTTGTTTCTAAAGAGGGTATCCAGCAAGACATTATCAACTAGTTAAACTTAATCAGGGTACCAGTCTACTAAAACCCATACATAATTCTACTCTTTCTGGCGTTATATTTGATTAACTGTTCATTATATTTTTACCCTATATTTTGACTGAATAATTGAGTTAATAATATTGTGGTGGTTATTTGTAATCATTATCATCTTGACAGAAGTGTGTTGACAATGGCCAGGCAGACACTATTGGGGAACAGAGGGGAGAGACAAGCGAGGTAATGCTAAATCAGCAGTTTGGGTTTCTGATGTATTTTATAAATATGTGTAAAATTGATCAAGTGCTTGTTAAAGGTCAATAATATCCGAGTGCTTTATTTAATTTTAAAGCTGTTTCATTTTCACTGTTATCTTTTTGTTTTAACAAAAATTGTACAAATACAGAAGTTATTATCCTTAAAATTGTATTCAACTGGTCATAAATTATTCAATTGGTCAATTAAATTTTCAACTAAACAACTTTCAACTTGTCAATTATACTGTTGATTTTAAAGGCACAAGACGTGGACACAATTGTGGAGAAGACAGGTGTGACCGGCTCAGGTCCTACGCCTGGTAAACCAGGGATGGTCGCCAGGCTGAGAGAGATCAAGAAAAAACACCAGCACCTTGCTAATGGTAGTTATTCTGTATTTGGCCTGCTTTGGTATTTAGTCCTTTATTTAGGACTACTTATCAGGGTTGTTTAAATTGCGCTGTCAATATTGATAACAGTCATCATAACATATGTTACTGGTAAATGAATTGTTTCACATTAATCAAATGTAGAAATAGGAGCTAATCCAGATGTGTATAAGTGATGTTCCTCGTGGTAAATGTGATTCTGTTCTGTAGTCACTTCAGTTACATTGGCTTATACACAATATGCTGTATTATGGAAAACAACAGGACACCCAGTTAACAGACATAAATCTGCAAAAATATATTGAAATTCCTCTTTAAGAAACTAGTAAGCAAGCTTGCATTTCATATGAGATATGTCAAGGATAATACAATTCAACTAGATCCGCGAACTGAAAATTGATCTGTTCTATTATTTTAGCTTGTCACTGTAACAATGCTTATTGAAAATTAAGTATAGAAGTCAATCGCAACAAGCTCCGGATAAGTTGGTTTTCTTCAGTTGCCCTGCATACCAGGTGGTATCTGGTCAAGGGATAAATGGAACCAACCAAACCTAAATAATGGTTACGGCGTTAGCTCTATCCCTGGAACAATATTTAATGAAGGTACACTGTTCTTTTCATTGTAGAGACCTGTTTTAAGTGTGAGACATCCTTTTCTTCAATACTTAAAAGAAGGGTAAGTGAACAATAGGATGGTTAATATTTTGTGTTAGCAGATTATCACAAATGAGTGTTCAATTTAATTTAATTTCTAATAGATCACATCACAAGAAAAGCTGTTCTATGGGGATGTTAATGTATATGGCATTGTACGTAAATGATAAAAATATTCTTGGGAATTAATCTATTCTTGAAAATGATTCTGAATGAGTCTAGTTTGAAAAAGGGGTGGGTGTATTAAAGGTATTGTTGTAATGCAGTGGAAGTTTTGAAAAAATAGACATAATTTCATCTTTTAGTATTTAACATTTATATTATAAAGAGGAAAATGTCAAGATCAAGTCAAGAGGAATGATAATTTTCATACAGTTACCTTGTGATGAGTATTACTGATATATGTTGGTTGGTTGTACAGGGTTTTAAGTCATATTAACAGCTAATGTCAATTAAGGTTGTGCCTCCCTGTGTGTTGTGTATATCATAGTATTAATGATGAATGTCTATTGACAGTACTACTGCCGTCACTGTGGTAACAACTTCTGTACCAAGTGCTGTAACCAGAAGGTTCCCAAGGCCATGTTTGGGGCGACGTGTAAGTAATTTATATGTTAATATATACACATGGTGAAAAAATAGGAGTTCATATCCACGAAATGTAGTTCTATATTCAATTTTTTATTCTTTTCAGACTTATTCTGACAACAAAATACTATTAAATAAATTATCACAGTTTCTTTGACCTTGGAATTTATTTGTCAGCAGTAAAGCCCTGTAAATTGTAGTAAGTGAAAAATATTGCTTGTGAAACCAGGTCAGTGACAGCAACAAGAAATGAAGATGATAATGATGATGTATTACTTGAACGATAACTCAATGTTACTAACATGTGTGTGTGTTACAGCCCCCACAGCCCAGACAGAGACAGTCCTGGTGTGTAATGTCTGCTACGACCTTCTCACCCAGGAAGATAAGGACAAGGACAAAGAAAAGAAGAGCTGATTGGCTGGTGCCAACATGTCACCATGGTTACCAATATGTCTGATTATTCGACACAGCGTGACATATGCCCAGCTATGAGGATACAGCAAAGATTGTATACTCCAAGGAGCAAGTTTAATATTGTATACAGAGTGGTATGAGTTACAGGAAATTATCTTGGATACTTTTTCTTATAATTTTCCTCACAGAGTACCCCAACATTCTGGATATAAGTCTTTGACAAGTACCATCTGCTGGGTGTAGATTGGATGTGACAAAAGCTCCATGTATATATATTTATTATATAAATTGGAAGCAAGTCTAAAACACTTTAAACCTGGTTCAGATAAAGGAAGATAAGCAAGCACCAAACATGTACTGTTACTGTCCCATAACCAGTGTTGTGAATTAGTTCAAATTTAAACTGGACGTAAAACTTCATTTCTTGTGATATCAATTTACTGGAAATCTCTATCAAATGTTTTATACAGAATTTAAAAAATAGATTTTTTTTTAGAGTTTTCACCAAAATATCATGGACTTCATCAAAATTGTTCAAAGTGGAAAGTAATTATGAAATCAATGCCGTAGACTATAACATCAGTTTAATTAATGGTTTCAGGAGGGATTTGACAGTGTGTAATTATTCAATACACCAAATAGAAACCAGTTCAAAACCTCTACAAAATATCAACCTTTAGTACCAATTTGTTTCTGATCTTTTAAAGTGAATGCTTAAAAAAAGCTATTTCAAATTTATGGCAAAGAAATAAACATATAGCTATATGAGAATCTCCTAGGGAAGGTTGGTCAGAATTAAAGTTTTTACTGAGGTTATACATTTTTTATTATGTATAGGGAAAGAAATCTGACTCAACTACTGGTAGTCCTTCCTCAGAAATGCCATGAAAAATCTACATGGTCAACATAGAGATATAGGGAGGGTTGGTTTAGCAGAAACATGATCATCTTTATTTTTTGTTTGATTGTGATGTTAATTCCATTCAAAAATTATATTGAGCACAACACAAATGTTGTTCGTGGACTTAAATACCGTTAAACATCATGAGAAATCATTTCAAATTAAAACAAAAAACAAAAAAAACTCTGTGTTTAAACTCAATCGGTGGCGTGTAAGGTGTGCTACTTATTATATAAGATTTTTACAGTTACCGGGGGGTATACACATGTATTTCACATTTAGAATTTCAGAATTTCACGTCTTGGTAGAGAATTCTCTTGTTTTTGCAAATTTGCTTTTAGCAGCATGGAATTTGTTTAGGAGAGTATCCGTTCTTGCCAAATTAATTTAAGTAGAGTTTTGTGATATGTTGCTGGTTAGATGATGGTGCAGGTAACACTTCTGTTTGATACTGGGGGGTTTGTTAAGCTTTTCTATTGCCAATAGTTCAGTCTGTGTTGTCTATAACTCAAAGTGATAGGGTATGGACATGTTTTAGTGATGTTCATAGAATCAAGATTCTTCAAATTTGTTTTCTTGTAACAGGATATAGGTAGATCTTATAGGTATGTGTTTATAGGAACTTTTTGATTACCGTATAAATGTGTGTACATATTATGTTTTTATGGGTACACATGAGATATACTGTGAATGAAGTTTTGTGTATGTAGGTCATTGTTTTACATGAATGATAGGTACATTATATATAAATGTATAGATATATATATATATGGATTTAGAATGATTTGGGCAAGTGCAAATTTTTTAAACCAAGATGTAACATTTCATGTATTAAATAGTTACAACATTATATTAACATGAACAGTTTTACAAGAATAAGCACCAGATAATTATATTATTAGCCTTTTTTTTTTTTTTGCATTTATATAAGATGTTTGTGATTTTAAACCAGTACTAAAATGATTAACGGCCAAGTACTATTAATATAATGGATATAACATTAGGCTTATTAACCTTAACATGAAAGTGAAACTAAAATATATGAGGACATTTTTAGTAAGAAAAACATAATGTTGACTTTTACTGTTCAATCAAAAGTCATTTTGTCTCAATAGTTTTGAATTACCTCAAGCCATGGGTAGTGTTCAAATGCAGTTTTACTTAATTTTCAGCTTGAATAGTTTTGCTTTAAATATGTGTTCCATCTAATAGAATTCTAAGAGACATATACGTGAGTATGGGTTTTTTAAACTAGTTTGATTTATCATTAGATTTTTGGTTGGTAATTCCGGTTGTGAGAAATGCTGGATGTAAATTTAGTTTGAATTTAGTTTTTTTCAATTTCAAGATAAACTTATATGAACTTTCAAAACATTTTGTACATTTTGTATTTGAAAACAGATTAATACAGTTAGGTTACAATACTAAATATATTATTACATTGTGTATGTATGTTATGAAGAAATTATGTTTAATATAATTTTAATCCCTATTTTTGTTAAGTTTATTATCTACACATGCATGCAGTGTGTTTCCTGTTATATACTAATGTCCCAGTCATTGAGTACAGTATTATCATGTTAATCACCTGATATAGACAAACAATTTAACAAGGAGCAATTTCATGTGACCAGGTAGGCAGTTGGATTTTGAAATAAATGTACAAATTATATAACTGTTACACCAATTTTACATGTAATAGGTTTATGCATAACCGCCATTTTGCCATACTGGCCTTTACCTTAAGACTCAACACCATTTATAATCACCAATACTATATTTTTCAAATTACTCAAGTTATAGACTAGTTTAGGGCAGTGATGCCTACCAGCCAATACTTAATGCCATCCTAGCTACATGTGTATCAAATACGAATCATTGTACCAGGAGCCTTATAACATAGTTATACTTGGGGGCCTTTTTTTGCCAGTGCATCGTAATTTGATTAAGTTATTTCAGAATGTGTGGTTAAACTTTGAAGTGTTTAATTTAATTAAATAACTATAACCAAGCATTAAGATTTAGAAATAACTGAAAGAAGCAGTGTCACTTGTTAACAAGTTTGTAAAATGAATAGAATACTTTATGTTTACAAATCAAGTGAGAATAATGTGTTAGTTTCACAGCAAAAATTACCCGAGATTGTTGACTGATGGTAAGCTTTATTTGGTAGCGGTTACGGTGGAAACAGAACAATGAATAGGTCAAAGTTCATTAATTGGTAGAGGGTAAAATCTCCTGACATATTAACAAGACTTATTATGACAGTTTGTACGATAGAATGACTCTTTGGTAAAATTGAATCTCAATTTATTTTTATACAAGTCATTTTACCAATAGTATAGTATATTTGGAGATCATTAGAGGTCAGATCATACTAGGAGTAAATTATTTATAAGTGATACTCAAGAAGTGCGCAGAGTTGTATCCTAGTGGTTCATTTTGGAGTTGGAGGTAGTGTTAGTTTATATTTTAAACACAGAAATAAGGAAAAGGATGAAAGGGTTTTTATAGGTATATTATTCAATAGTTATGAATATGAGATTATAATCACACAACATTACTATCAGCATGTGTATCCTTGTATATCATTATCAGGATTTTCAATGATACAGTTGCATGAAACGTAATAGTTTGAGAACAACAGAATGATAAAAAGGATATTAACCATAGCACATGTGCAACATGAAAGGAAAAATGTAATGGCCAGACAGGGATTTGAACCCAGGACCTCCAAAATCTACATGGACACTCTAACCAATTGAGAAACCTGGTTGGGTGGGTGGGTGGGGGGCATTGACCCAGACCAGGCCTTGATATATTAGCGATAATCTCATAAGTATCCAGTAATTTGACTACATGGCCATTAAATGTTGTGTATAGACTAGTACTATTGACAGTGAAGATTTAATTATACATAGGTGTGTGTACATGACATATTCATAAACTACCATGTAATATGTGCAGTATTTGTATGAATTGAAAAGCAAAGCTGTATAAAAGGAATCGATAACTTGAAATAACTGTTCATGGGCAGTAAAATATGTTTAAACAGATATACGTTTCTAAACATGTACATGCTGGCATTAGATACATGCAGATGTGCAAAAATATATCAAAACCAACCAATCTTTCACTTTGAAAGCCCACCAAATCAGTCTTGTGGTCATCCATATTAATTACAGAGAGATTATGTTCTGTCCAATCAAAAGATACATAATGTATTCAAATTAACACCTTTTTTCTGGTAAAGGGGCTTTGCTTTGCATTACTTATAGGATTTGAATTTTGTTTGTTAGTTTTCAAATTATGTTAATATTGTTTGAACTTTAGTTATTTATTCTTGTTAAGTCACACAAGCTGCTTATAGTGCATTTGTAGTATTATGGCTTTTAGACCAATTTGTCAAATAAGTTGTTTCTGTTAGTGTTAGTGCAATGGTGGAGGTTGGTGGGCAGGTTTTTGTGAGATTGAATGTACTAGTCGAGTGTGTGTGGTGTCTAGTCACTGACTGACAGGTTAACATTTACTTTCGTTTTAGCTATATAATAAATGTGTGATAATGGGCAGTTACAAAAAGGTAAATGTTTACTTTCATCTTTGTTATATATGTGTAATAAGTTTGTTAGTAAATTTATTATGTTTTTTTTATGCATATAGTGAGTATACTTGTGACTTCAGTTTTATGTAACTTGTATGTTGAATTTTTACTTTCTTTTCATTTCTGACATTTTTATCTGTCCTCACTTCTCTCATTCATGCATGATGTACGTTTTACTCATTTAATCTCATTGCGGAATATCAGGAGAACGCAGGTATTTTATAGAAAACTATTTTTAAGTTCAATAATGTTGTTCATGTTAAGGATATATGTTACCCTTCTGGGATATGTTTCCTTCCCAAAAGAGTTCCCCAAAAGGTATCCTTGAGATATCACTTTTATGGATGGTGAATTGGAATAAATGTATTAGTTGGTGACATATGAGAGATGAAAAGAATATGTGCATAGATAGGACTCATAAATAGTTATGAATCAACTTAATTAAAAGTGTTGAATTAGCACAAATCAGTTATATTGTGTAAGGTAGCATATATCCTTAACTCTTACACTAATCTATCATAAACTGCAAAATTACAGGTATAATGTGTAAGGTAGCATATATCCTTAACTCTATCACAAATCACAGATAACCAGGTATAATGTGTAACTATGTCACCCCTATGAAACTTTAGTAAACTCTACCACGAATTTATCTAGATGAGTCCACTATGGTCCAGAGTGGTGGAAGGGTTGATATGTTATCAGTGGAAGAGGAGACTGACTGTTATACACAATGATAATCAGTAGTTGAGGAGTACTGTAAATGTACATATTTTACCAGTAATCTTACTCTAGTACTTTTTGCATTTAAGTTTATATGGTACTAAATTAGGAATCATGTGAAGGCTGCAGATATTATAGAGATTTTTTTTAACAGAATAGGAGATATTTGGTATATTTTTGACTTGAACCAATTAAGAATTATGGTGTGATTAAGATAAAAAAAATCCTTGGATGTTTTCCATACATGTGACCATATTTTGAAAAACAAGAAGATAAATGTACAGAACCTGGTGTCTGAGTAAAATACTTGAATTCTTCATCTTTTTATAATGTCTTATTGTCCTAGGCTACATTTATGAATATTGGAAAAAAGATGTCGGGATACACCAAATTTCTCAAACATTTCCTGACTTATTTTCAATACGAAAAATATAGTAGAACTTTTACACAATTACTTTGTAACTATTGTTAGTGAGAAGAATTGATTAATTGTAGTGTATTTATTTGTACAATATTATAATTGGTACAAGCTACCATTACCCTGTGACAGCTTTGTTGTGAGATTAACAGAAATATGAATATTAGTGGCTTTACTGTGACTACTGTATAATGTAGTAACTTACTTAAATTACCGTAATGTTTTATTAAGAAACAATAATATCAGCTGGACTTAATTACCACTTTGCACACATTTCTAACGCTGTATTATCACAGTTTTGTGACTATTTGTACTTAATGAAATCAGATTAACATTCAGTGTGTTATATTGGAGACAGAAAGACATGAATACCTATATTCCAGACCAGCGATCCCCTCATTTTGTATTGTGTAACACGTACAGTGTCTTCTGCCACAGAATAAATGTGTTAATAACTGTATCTGTGTTGTTGTGATTTGTTTATCTAGAGAAGTTATAAATCCAGAAATATTTCTCATCATAGTTTCAGGTTGACAAATTTTTGACAAGTTATTGGCTATCATATTGTATTGCTCTGAAATTCTAATCTTCTGTACATACAGCATGTAAAATCTATACATAGGTCACTGATCACAGACAGTATATACCCTATATACAGAGGTGACTGATCACAGACAGTATGTAACCTTTAAATAGAGGTCACTGATCACAGACAGTATGTCACCTCTAAACCGAGGTCACTGATCACAGACAGTATGTAATCTCTATACAGAGGTCAATGATCACAGACAGTATGTAACCTCTATACAGAGGTTACTGATCACAGACAGTATGTAACCTCTATACAGTGGCCACTGATCACAGACAGTATGTCACCTCTTAACCGAGGCCACTGATCACAGACAGTATGTAATCTCTATACAGAGGTCACTGATCACAGACGGTATGTAATCTCTATACAGAGGTCACTGATCACAGACGGTATGTAATCTCTATACAGAGGTCACTGATCACAGACGGTATGTAATCTCTATACAGAGGTCACTGATCACAGACGGTATGTAATCTCTATACAGAGGTCACTGATCCCAGACAGTATGTAATCTCTATACAGAGCTCACTGATCACAGACAGTATGTAACCTATATACAGAGGTCACTGATCACAGACAGTATTTAACCTTTATATAGAGGTCACTGATCACAGACAGTATGTAACCTCTATACAGAGGTCACTGATCACAGACAGTATGTAACCTTTATATAGAGGTCACTGATCACAGACAGTATATACCCTATATACAGAGGTCACTGATCACAGATAGAATGTAATCACTATACAGAGATCACTGATCACAGACAGTATGTAACCTCTATACAGTGGCCACTGATCACAGACAGCATGTCACCTCTAAACAGAGGTCACTGATCACAGACAGTATGTAACCTTTATACATATGTCACTGATCACAGACAGTATGTAATCTCTATACAGGGGTCACTGATCACAGACAGTATATACCCTATATACAGAGGTCACTGATCACAGACAGTTTGTAATCTCTATACAGAGGTCACTGATCACAGACAGTATGTAATCTCTATACAGAGGTCACTGATCACAGACAGTATATACCCTATATACGGAGGTCACTGATCACAGACAGTATGTAACCTCTATACAGAGGTCACTGATCACAGACAGTATGTAACCTCTATACAGAGGTCACTGATCACAGACAGTATGTAACCTCTATACAGAGGTCACTGATCACAGACAGTATGTAACCTCTATACAGAGGTCACTGATCACAGACAGTATGTAACCTCTATACAGAGGTCACTGATCACAGACAGTATGTAACCTCTATACAGAGGTCACTGATCACAGACAGTATGTAACCTCTATACAGAGGTCACTGATCACAGACAGTATGTAACCTCTATACAGAGGTCACTGATCACAGACAGTATGTAACCTCTATACAGAGGTCACTGATCACAGACAGTATGTAACCTCTATACAGAGGTCACTGATCACAGACAGTATGTAACCTCTATACAGAGGTCACTGATCACAGACAGTATGTAACCTCTATACAGAGGTCACTGATCACAGACAGTATGTAACCTCTATACAGAGGTCACTGATCACAGACAGTATGTAACCTCTATACAGAGGTCACTGATCACAGACAGTATGTAACCTCTATACAGAGGTCACTGATCACAGACAGTATGTAACCTCTATACAGAGGTCACTGATCACAGACAGTATGTAACCTCTATACAGAGGTCACTGATCACAGACAGTATGTAACCTCTATACAGAGGTCACTGATCACAGACAGTATGTAACCTCTATACAGAGGTCACTGATCACAGACAGTATGTAATCTCTATACAGAGGTCACTGATCACCGACAGTATGTAACCTCTAAACTGAGGTCACTGATCACAGACAGTATGTAATCTCTATACAGAGGTCACTGATCACCGACAGTATGTAACCTCTAAACTGAGGTCACTGATCACAGACAGTATGTAACCTCTATACAGTGGCCACTGATCACAGACAGTATGTCACCTTTAAACCGAGGCCACTGATCACAGACAGTATGTAATCTCTATACAGATGTCACTGATCACAGACAGTATGTAACCTCTATACAGAGGTTACTGATCACAGACAGTATGTAACCTCTATACAGAGGTCACTGATCACAGACAGTATGTAACCTCTATACATAGGTTACTGATCACAGACAGTATGTAACCTCTATATAGAGGCCACTGATCACAGACAGTTTGTAACCTCTATATAGAGGCCACTGATCACAGACAGTTTGTAACCTCTATATAGAGGCCACTGATCACAGACAGTATGTAATCTCTATATAGAGGCCACCGATCACAGACAGTTTGTAACCTCTATATAGAGGCCACTGATCACCGACAGTATGTAATCTCTATATAGAGGCCACTGATCACAGACAGTATGTAATCTCTATATAGAGGCCACTGATCACAGACAGTATGTAACCTCTATACAGAGGCCACCGATCACAGACAGTATGTAACCTCTATATAGAGGCCACCGATCACAGACAGTTTGTAACCTCTATATAGAGGCCACTGATCACAGACAGTATGTAATCTCTATACAGAGGTCACTGTTCACAGACAGTATGTAATCTCTATATAGAGGCCACTGATCACAGACAGTTTGTAACCTCTATATAGAGGCCACTGATCACCGACAGAATGTAACCTTTATATAGAGGCCACTGATCACAGACAGTATGTAATCTCTATACAGAGGTCACTGATCACCGACATTATGGAACCTTTATACAGAGGCCACTGATCACAGACAGTATGTAATCTTTATACAGAGGTCACTGTTCACAGACAGTATGTAACCTCTATATAGAGGCCACTGATCAAAGACAGTATGTAATCTTTATACAGAGGTCACTGTTCACAGACAGTATGTAATCTCTATACAGAGGTCACTGTTCACAGACAGTGTGTAATGATCACAGACAGTATGTAACCTTTATATAGAGGCCACTGATCACAGACAGTATATAACAGGTCACTGATCACCGACAGTATGTAACCTCTAAACTGAGGTCACTGATCACAGACAGTATGTAATCTTTATACAGAGGCCACTGTTCACAGACAGTATGTAATCTCTATATAGAGGCCACCGATCACAGACAGTTTGTAACCTCTATATAGAGGCCACTGACCTCTATACAGAGGTCACTGATCACAGACAGTATATAACCTCTATACGGAGGTCACTGATCACAGACAGTATGTAACCTCTAAACTGAGGTCACTGATCACAGACAGTATGTAACCTTTATATAGAGGCCACTGATCACAGACACTATGTAATCTCTATACAGAGGTCACTGCTCACCGACAGTATGGAACCTTTATACAGAGGCCACTGTTCACAGACAGTATGTAACCTCTATACAGTGGCCACTGATCACAGACAGTATGTCACCTCTAAACCGAGGTCACTAATCACAGACAGTATGTAACCTCTATATAGAGGCCCCTGATCACAGACAGTATGTAACCTCTAAACTGAGGTCACTGATCACAGACAGTATGTAATCTCTACTATACAGAGGTCACTGATCACCGACATTATGTAACCTTTATACAGAGGCCACTGATCACAGACAGTATGTCACTGATCACAGACAGTATGTAATCTCTATACAGAGGTCACTGATCACCGACAGTATGGAACCTTTATACAGAGGCCACTGATCACAGACAGTATATAACAAGTATTTGTCACTGATGAAGAATTTTTATTTATATATGTCCAGGAAACATTATAAACTACATCTACAGAGACTGTATACAATCAAATGTATATATAGAAATGTATAATCATGAAAGCTCTATATATATAGAGTTCACTTATTAGAAATACAGATTGCGCATCGACATATATAGATCTCGGATCATAGAGACATTTTATTTCTCATGAAAGCGGTAATTTAAATCCCTTTAATAGGTGCAAGCTGTTTTAACAAAATAAGTTTACATACAATTGAAAAGTAATCTGTATCGCCATATTTTTCACTATTATTCAAATTAAAGCGATTTAAGCCATTCATTATATGACTAACATTGTTTAAAAAAAACGATAAAAACTTAATGGATTTGGAAAAAATAATTTCACTATGGATTGTTAAGCTAACGATGCTTCCAGTTTTGACCTCTGAACTACCTTCGGAACTCTAGGTATATTTTTATTAAATCCACAAAAGGTGTACCGAATGTCGAGGAAATGGTTGCAGAAACTTCACCTGTTCACTACGAACACGCTGGCAGAATACAACATGACAGGTGATTGCATTTCTCACCTGTCAGAGGTATTACAGCTACACCTGGATGGTATACGCATCAGACTCGGAGGGACACACGTAACATAGGTAACGTTGGGATTACTTATTTATTTACCTGTACGAGTTTATGGTGAACTGGCGCGTCTACTAATCCACTGTCGAAACTTGTCTATTCGGATTACAACACTGAACAATAGACACTAGAACAGGTATGACGGAGTTATATACACGTGGGTTTGTGTATTGTACAGATTGTAAAGGGATTTTGACAATGTAGAGGATAGGATACACAATCGGACTGGTAATTTGCAAGCACAGCATATATATATATATATTATATGTAATAAGCAGATAAATGTAATTGTCATAACAACAATCAGGTTGACACTACATGTACACCTGTGCAGGTATTGTTCTGGTAAATCAGAGACGCACATAATTTTGTCTGACAACTTAGACTGTTAGAGCGAAACGTATACACAGATTGTGTGTCTGCTACTGTCTGCTATTGTACTTACAATTGAATATTTGGTTTATTGTAAAGTATAAACAAATATTGTACCGAGCATGCCGGGATAAGTCTACAATAAATAGGTAATTAATACAAAATTCTATTTATAAACATTCCTGTGGTGGATTATATAGTGTATTGGTATGAGTGCCTCACGAGGTCTCATACTGAAGTTCTGAACTGAAGCCAAGAAATTGTCCCTAAGGAAATATTAATGGTTATATAATGTATATGTAATTGAATGCACATGATACTTGTCTATGAGAAGAAGAATACCTGGTAGATTGTCTGATGCATATATAATACATGTAGATAAGAAGGTGTTTATATAATAACAGAGCTTGGCCTGAACCTTGTGCATGCATAGCTAGTATACTATATGTATGTGGCTTGATCATCCAAATGATATGCCATTCTTTGAAGGGAACTAATCCATATGTAAAAATAATATATATCTAAATGCAAATATTACATAATTTAATTTATATAAAAAAAACTGTTCAAACAATTTCACAACTTAAACTAGATCAAAGTTAGTGCTTTAAATATAGAGATCACTGATCAGACAGATGTTACCTGTATAAAGAGGTCACTGATAAGTCAGTTTAACCTGTATATAGAGGTCACTGATCAGACAGGTGTTACCTGTATAAAGATATTACTGATCAGACAGTTGTTACCTGTATATAGAGGTCACTAACCACAGAGACAGTTGCTACCTGTATAAAGAGGTCACTGATCAGACAGTTGTTACCTGTATATAGAGGTCACTGATCAGATAGTTTTTACCTGTATATAGAGGTCACTAATCAGACAGGTATTACCTGTGTATAGAGGTCACTGATCTGATAGTTGTTACCTGTATATAGAGGTCACTGATCAGAGAGTTGTTACCTGTAAATAGAGGTCACTGATCAGTCAATTGTTATCTGTATACAGATATTACTAATCAGACAGTTGTTACCTGTATATAGAGGTCAGTCAGTTGTTACCTGTATATATAGGTCACTGTTCATAGAGACTGTTGCTACCTGTATATAGAGGTCACTGATCAGCCAGTTGTTACCTGTATAAAGAGGTCACTGATCAGTCAGTTACCTGTATATAAAGGTCACTGATCAGTCAGTTGTTACCTGTATATAGAGGTCACTGATCAGTCAATTGTTACCTGTATATATAGGTCATTGATCACAGAGACAGTTGCTACATGTATATATAGGTCACTGATCAGCCAGTTGTTACCTGTATATAGAGGTTACTGATCAGTCAGTTACCTGTATATAGAGGTCACTGATCAGTCAGTTGTTACCTGTATAAAGATATTACTGATCAGACAGTTGTTACCTGTATATAGAGGTCACTGATCAGTAAATTGTTACCTAATGTTACTCTAATAACAGACAGCTGTTGCTACCTGTATATAGAGGTCACTGATCAGCCAGTTGTTACCTGTATAAAGAGGTCACTGATCAGTCAGTTACCTGTATATAAAGGTCACTGATCAGTCAGTTGTTACCTGTATCAAGATATTACTGATCAGACAGTTATTACCTGTATATAGAGGTCACTGATCAGAAAATTGTTACCTGTATATAGAGGTCACATAAAGAGGTCACTGATCAGTCAGTTACCTGTATATAAAGGTCACTGATCAGTCAGTTGTTACCTGTATCAAGATATTACTGATCAGACAGTTGTTACCTGTATATAGAGGTTACTGAACAGTCAGTTACCTGTATATAGAGGTCACTGATCAGACTGTTGTAACCTGTATAAAGATATTACTGATCAGACAGTTGTTACCTGTATATAGAGGTCAGTCAGTTGTTACCTGTATATATAGGTCACTGTTCATAGAGACTGTTGCTACCTGTATATAGAGGTCACTGATCAGCCAGTTGTTACCTGTATATAGAGGTTACTGATCAGTCAGTTACGTGTATATAGAGGTCACTGATCAGTCAGTTGTTGCCTGTATCAAGATATTACTGATCAGACAGTTGTTACCTGTATATAGAGGTTACTGATCAGTCAGTTACCTGTATATAGAGGTCACTGATCAGTCAATTGTTACCTGTATATATAGGTCATTGATCACAGAGACAGTTGCTACATGTATATATAGGTCACTGATCAGACAGTTGTTACCTGTATATAGAGGTTACTGATCAGTCAGTTACCTGTATATAGAGGTCACTGATCAGTCAGTTGTTACCTGTATCAAGATATTACTGATCAGACAGTTGTTACCTGTATATAGAGGTCACTGATAAGACAGTTGTTACTTGTATAACGATATTACTGATCAGACAGTTGTTACCTGTATATATGGGTCACTGATCACAGAGACGATTGTTACCTGTATATAGAGGTCACTGATCAGTCAGTTATTACCTGTATCAAGATATTACTGATCAGACAGTTGTTACCTGTATATAGAGGTCACTGATCAGACTGATGTAACCTGTATAAAGATATTACTGATCAGACAGTTGTTACCTGTATATAGGGGTCACTGATCACAGAGACGATTGTTACCTGTATATAGAGGTCACTGATCAGACAGATGTTACCTGTATATTGAGTTCACTGATCACGCGACAATTGTTACCTGTATAAAGAGGTCACTAATCAGACAGTTGTTACCTGTATATAGAGGTCACTGATCACAGAGACAATTGTTACCTGTATATAGAGGTCGCTGATCAGACAGTTGTTACCTGTATATAGAGGTCACTGATAAGACAGTTGTTACTTGTATAACGATATTACTGATCAGACAGTTGTTACCTGTATATAGAGGTCACTGATCACGGAGACAATTGTTACCTGTATATATAGGTCACTGATCAGACATGTTACCTGTATATAGAGGTCACTGATCAGACAATTGTTACCTATATATAGAGGTCACTGATCAGACATTTACCTGTATATAGAGGTCACTGATCAGAAAATTGTTACCTGTATATAGAGGTCACTGATCAGACAATTGTTACCTGTATATGGAGGTCACTGATCACAGAGATAGGTGTTACATTTATTTAGAGGTCACTGATCAGACAGTTGTTACCTGTATATAGAGGTTCCTGATCACAGAGACAGTTGGTACCTGTATATATAGGTCACTGATCACAGAGACAGTTGTTACCTGTATATAGAGGTCACTGATCAGACATTTACCTGTATATAGAGGTCACTGATCAGAAAATTGTTACCTGTATATAGAGGTCACTGATCAGACAATTGTTACCTGTATATAGAGGTCACTGATCACAGAGACAGGTGTTACATTTATTTAGAGGTCACTGATCAGACAGTTGTTACCTGTATATAGAGGTTCCTGATCACAGAGACAGTTGGTACCTGTATATAGAGGTCACTGATCACAGAGACAGTTGTTACCTGTATATAGAGGTCACTGATCAGTCAATTGTTACCTAATGTTACTCTAATAACAGACAGTTGGTGATTGTTTTTAGATGTAACTGATATATACTTGATGAAAGAGAGGCTGAGGCTCGTTGTCCTTAGTAGAAAAATGATTACACATAGAATTACCCCTAAAAACCTAGGGTTTACACAGAAAAAGCGTGGTAAGAAATGATAGTTATCTCTATATGCATGTGTTTTTCAAAAAGGTGCTAAGTGTAGTCCTAAAATTAGAATGTCAGAAGTATATGTATATGCAAGTATAAATGTAAATAAATAAATTGGTAAAGTTGATTAACATTACTGTCAAAAAGTTTTGAACTCTTAGCATTTAAGCAGGACTAGACGAAAGAGATTTTGTATAAATTCGATGTTTTCCGATATTTCCAGGTACTTGCCATGGCATGTGCAGAAGATGGGGTATCTTTGGATACCATTGTGGACATCCTCAGGTGTATTTGGCACTGTCCCGAAGATCATGCAATCAAAAAACTCAGACAACACCCAAAAGTTCTAAAGGAACCCTTTGGATTCGGTATGTATTCGTTGTTCAGATTTAATAAAACAGAATCACAAATTAAATTGCAGATTGAAAGAATTTTATAACTCACCCTTGAAAATGTAATAATTTATTTTTATTTTTTTCAGAGTATCTAAAAGATGACAAAGTGTGTGTTTGTCATCACATCTTGGAGAGACTACAGCACAATGGTCACATCTTCCACGTCAATAAATTGTGTGACTTAATTCTGGCTGGATCCTGTCCCCATGTCAGTGAAAACTCTCCAGTGGAATGTATCAGCAGGGCGGGGACTTACTTCATCACGGCTGCAGCGGCCCTGGGTAAAGAGGATGTTGTCCGATATCTTATGATCAAGGGCAGCAGTCTTGATGCTAAAACTCAGGTCCTAAAGCTGGCTCCCATACATCTTGCTCTGATGAAGAATGATTTGAACATGTTATATTTCCTGTTAGCCCGAGAGGTGGAGGTTAATGTTTATTGTGAGTTTTCTGAGGGTCGTTTTTCACCATTGATGTTGGCTGCTCGTGATGGAACAGAAGAAACTGTTAATCTTCTTCTTGATGTCCCAGACATCCGATTGGATTTTCTAAATCAGAGTGAGACTGGAGCTTTAACTTGTGCATTACAAAACAAAAATTCAAACATTCTGGACATCCTGATCAGAGCTGGAGTCCAGGCCTCTAAAACCACTTTAGAAAAAGCAGTTCAGATGAACAATGCAAGTACCCTGGAGAAGATTTTGAAGACAAAACCTCTGACATATTTTGAGGACGTTTGGCGGGTTCAGGCTATTCACCAGGCAGTCAAGCAGGGTAAGTGTTGTAATAATGCATGAATAAAGCAAACAACAATATGAAAGAAATCATACACCACTACATGATTGCACAGTATTCAGAGTTTTATGTTGTACTTTCATTGGAGTTCAATTTACAAAGCAAATATGTTTCATATTATTTCTAACTGAATTTTCAATCATTGATAAAGTTTTAGTAAAGAATAAACACAAAATCAGTTTAAGCAAAGAACACTTTTTGATCTGTGAATCATGTTTTGCATTGTAGGTAGCAGTAAGTTGCTGAAGGTCTTATTTGACAAGGGTTTCTCGCTGAGTCTGTCCTCTGCTGTGGATCGTGCTGCAGTAGTGGATACAATGACTCGACACTACAGCCCACTTCACGTCGCAACCCTAAACAATGATGCAGAAATGGTGGGTGTACTGATCGACGGAGGAGTCAGCATAGATTCACACAAAATACAGGATTACACAGCCTACGACCTAGCAATAGCTATGGGATTTGACAAAGTGAAATCTGTGATAGAAGCCAAGGCAGGCCAGCCGTTACACTCGTGTGTAAGATACCAATACGGACCCTACAATGCTCTATTTTACCTCAAAGGAATTGACCGCCCAGGGATGATTCGACAGCTTGCTGCCAAGGGCTACGACCTAGATGAGACTTACCAGGGCCATACCAAACCTATATATTTTGCGATTCGTAGTGGAGACCATGTGTCACTGAAAACACTGATACAACTCGGGGCCAACCCTGATCCGCAACTGCGTAAAATTTCGCCAGGAGTTTTGGACTCTCCGTTAGCAAGTGCAGTACGATTAGGAAATGTAGAAGCAGTGAAAATCCTATTAAGTGAAAATGTAAGGATAAGTGACCAATCATTGTTCTGCTGCAAGGATGCCAGCATATTCAGACTTTTAGTTGACGCTGGTGCAGATATCAGGAAACATACAAAACACTGGCAGAGACTTTATGAGCTGGCACGTCTGTGGAAAGTCCCGTCCATTCAGAGATTTCTGGACCAGGACTTCGATGAGCCACAAAGCTTGTCCCTTCTGTGTAGAGATACAATACGATATCATTTCCATGGGAAGGCACTCAACTCGTTCCTCGATCACCAACATCTCCCTGGCAGCATCAGAAGGATGCTTACCCTGGAGGACCTTCTCAGCACATTTTCACCATACTACTAAATAGTGCTGTATTATCTAAGGGAAATTCTGCCAGTTTTGTCAGTTACGAGTGACTGAAAAAAATCAACACAAAGCTATGGTGATGTAGGAATGATTTAAGGCATTTTGTTCATTAGATACATGAGATTCTGTTTTAATAATAATCAGGTTGGTGCTGTTATTTTTATGTTGTTATAAAAACTGCCTAAAAGTAACTGATACTGATTTTTTTAGATCAAAATAATGCTGGGCATTAAAACCAAGTAAACCATGTTATTGACTGCTCAAAAAGTCATTGTATTACAGATTTGATTTTGTTCCTGTACTACAAGTTTTAGTTGTCTGGATATGTAACAACCCTGGTATTAGCCAGTACAATTTGTATGCTGACACGTCTGTCTTACCAGAACATTAATGATTCAATATGGCCTGTAAGTAGCAGATCTGGATCAAGACGTAAACTGAACTAGGATTAATTTGATTCTTACAAATACATGTGTATTCAATTGGGCACGTAATTAATAGCATGTATATTAGCTGCTGAATATTTATTTGTGGGTAACATTTATAGGTTATATACTCTCAAGTCAGGTTTAGTTGTACAATCAATATTTTTTCATTCACACAAGAAAACCATATGGGCTGTCTAAAGATTTTCACAACATGACAGGTTGTTAGTTTTTGTAGTTAAGCAGATTTTTTGTCTTCTTGTTTTTGTTGATAAATTTGACCTAACAACTGTGATAACATGTATTATTAGATTTGAGGAACGAAAAAGCATATTTAAGGATGCATGCTATCAGACACAGAAGATAGTTCTGTTAGAATTATCTCCCTTTATTTGTGTAAGATTAGCATTATATGCAATTATTCAGCATCACCTTGACCATCATAGTTGTATAGTAATACTACTGGCTGTAAATTACATCAAAGGATTGTGCTTTTTAATCAAATGATGATTACATAGTTATGGCACTCTCATTGTGTTTTATTGTCTGTTTGTAAAACTGGTAGGCTTTTCATAAATAGGCCAATTATATAAGTAGCAATTTGTGTTTAAAAAAGATTATAGAATTCTTCTATCAGAATTTATGATATACTCAAAAATCAATTAACATTAATTTTTGAAAAATATTCCCCAGGAAACATCTGTACACCTGGAAGTGTGTTAAAGATCCAAATTACCATTTTGATTCATGAAAGACATTTACAGATTGCTCAGTATGAAACTCTTTGTTAAAAGGAGGTACAATTTACAGAAGGGAAGCATATTTCCTTAGGTTAGTAAACTTTGGCTCAACGTGGAATAGTGAAGGGAAATTTAGTCTTACCATGACAACAATATTTAACCAAGTAAAACAGTATTTATCATGTATTTTATTTATTAATTGTTGGTTGCCTTGCCTTGTTTTAAGTTGTTCTTTGGAGTATGTGTACACTTTTTTTGTAGAGTACACGTTCACCATAGCTAAGGCATAATGTTTTGTTTATTTTGTTTAAAGAAACATGACATTTTGATTTTTTATTCCATGACGACTGGTACGCAATGAATGTATAGTTCTTGTTCAAGGCTCAAAGAGTTTATAATTGATATTTAGTAATATATAATCATATCAGCTCAAATGTTTAAATTTCAATGTAATATTTTAAAGAGTTTTTTTATACAAACAAGCTGAACTTTTAGCTACATATTCCTGGCTACAAAGAAAACACCGCTCCAGAATATACATATAGTTTGACATTTAATTTGTTTTACCCTCAAGTTCACATATAGGTCAACATTTAATATGGTATGTGTACACTCTAAGTGCCTTTAACAATATGCTCATGGCTGAAAAGTTAAAACCAATAAGAAACATCATGTAAGAAAAATGAATCATCTTAATGATTTCAAGATGAATGTATTGTTTTGATAGCCTCAGGTGAAAAAACTTCCTTGATTCCACAATAGGCATCCAAGTATATGGAAAAATGTAATGACAATCAGGAAAGTGCTAACGTTGAAAAAGCCATGATAAAAAGCAATCTATTTTCATTAGTGCTTTAACTTGTTAGTTCTAGTATGAATGGGTTGTTATTAATGTGTTAAATTTATTGAATCTCTATAATGTAATTTTTATAACAAAATGCATCACTGATGTGGCCTTCTTGATGTCTGTTTTGCTTAACACCATTCTCAGGTACACAAGTTAACAATAGTGTATTGTTTTATACATACCTTTATAATCAGGTGGTTTTTTTTGTGATAAACAAAAAATGGAATGATGTTTAACATGATAATGGTGATTGATTTTCCCACTTTTCTGTATCAATGCACCTATATCAAAGTTTAAAAAAAACACCTTTATGTGAAATTGTGAATTGTGAATTGCTTTCACTTTGCTAGAAGGTATGGAATGCTACAAATGCATAATACATGTTACATGTGTTGGTGCAATCAATTGTTTTGTTTTGTTGGTAATTGACGATTGTTTTTTAAGGAATAATGATGTCTTGCCTTGCATGATTTATCAATTTATATTTTGAAACTGTCTCACAGATATTTTGCACATGATTTTTCGGTGTCAAATAAAAAGTTGTTTTCATTATTAGCAATTAATTTTTGTGTCCATTTGATTTCTGAATCTTCCAAATAGAATCTTTTATATAGAGGATACATTAACCATTATTAACTCTGACCAGGCAATGAAACAGATCTTCAGCCTGCATTTTGAAATAAAGATTGGAGCCTGTTCCCTGATATGGAGTAACTTAGAGAAAAATGATATCTCTTAATAGACAGGTTGTTATTTTATAGAAAAATCACTATTTCAGAAATTTAATATAGGCAGGAGATCTTTGTAGAAATAAAAAGAAAGGGGTTCCTTATTTACAGGTAGGCAATATAAAATATTAGACAGATGGTCCTTATTGACAGGTGATCTTCATAGAAATTAAAGGACAGATGGTCCTTATGGACAGGTGATAGATGGTCATAATTGACAGGTGACAGACAGTCCATATTGACAATCAATCAATCGAGAGATAGGCTGTACATACTTCGTATACTTCTCTCCGAGCTCGAAATAGCCTTGAAAAAACAGAATTCTAATACAATAAGAACGAATTTAAACAGAAGCATAATACATGTACTCTATTTTATTACATTTCACATTTGATTCAAATTATATTTCCCATCCAAGTCTAATAAAATATGTCGATGACATACTGTATTGGTACATACTAAATGTCCAACCCAAGTACAATAAAAAGTGTTATATGGTGACATGCTGCATAGTGTGTTTTTTCACTTGTAGTATATTTCATGATTTTGACAATTATATGAGTCTGACAGCAAACTCAACATGATGAACATTTTTAGTCGAGTGACACTACCTTATAATCTCAAAAGTGCCCATTCAATACTTGTGAAAGGAAGTCTTTTCCACATAGAGTAAAATGTCTCCAAATGTTATTTAACCCTTTCACCCCTAAGTAACTTAAGGAGACTACCGTACATTTGTCTGGGTGAGTCCATTGTGGTCTACAGTGGTGAAAGGGTTAATGCTGAATTACAGGACTTATTCACTGTAGTTTTGTGCACAGTGACATTCCTTGATACAAACCTACATTTTATCTCCAACATTGTTCATGTATTTACATAACAATCTTAAACGAAGGTCATTGATTACCCAAACCTGCACTATGGTACTTTGACACAAGACACAAATTCAATATGTGACATTCCATCTTCCCAAATTGAATTTATTTCGGCATGTTTGGTAAATATAAGTGAATAGCAAGGAATTTTTGCTGTAGAAAAGTTTTGCACTCTGAACTGAACAAGGGCAATTACTCTGGATACAGTGGGACAGCAGATTTCATCATTATGTGACTGTCCCAAAAACCAAAACACTTTATCAGGACCATGTACTGAACATTACCATGACGTTTCATTGGATTCCCTTCATCAGTATTTGAGTTTCAGTTCAAGGTGTGAAATGTTAGTTGATGACGAAGGATTACAACACGACACCCTGAGCTTTTGGCTCAGGTGACATAACATTACATTAAATTTATTGGTTTTTTAAAATTAAGTTTGAAAATTTGACTTAAATAATCATTGAGGTAAAGAGTACTACTCTGATCTAGTGTTATAATCACTAAAAAGTGTTATACCTCAGAGACATTTTTATTCTTTGACCTGAAGTGGATGGAGCACAGAGCTGTTTTATTACGTTGATAGCAACATTTGTAATGAGTAGGACTGGCAGTAGATCTGTCCAGAGTTTGACTCTTGGTTTTTTAGGTCACCTGAGACAAAGTCTCAAGTGACCTATTGCGATCGCCTTTTGTCCGTCGTCGTCCGTCGTCTGTCGTGCGTCCGTAAACAATTTACATTTTCGACTTCTCCTCCAAAACCCCTGAACCAATTTCAATGAAATTTTGCAGGGACCTTCCATGGACAAAGGTCAACAAAAATAGTTGCCGGTTTAGTCCTACACCCCCAGGGGCCTGAGGGGCGGGGCCAAAAGGGGTCAAATTGACTAAAATTTCAAAAATCTTCTTCTCCAAAACCCCTGAACCAATTGCAATGAAATTTTGCAGGGACCTTCCATGGACAAAGGTCAACAAAAATAGTTGCCGGTTTAGTCCTACGCCCCCAGGGGCCTGAGGGGCGGGGCCAAAA